TCTTCTTCTTCTTCTTCTTCTTCTTCTTCTTCTTCTTCTTCTCTTCAAAAGCTTTTACTTCTCGGCAGGCATTTATTAGGAAAGTTTAGACAAAACTAAGGTTGCCTGTTAATATACATATATGTCGTTTTGTATATCAAATGCCATTGCATTCCGTGATAAAGGAAGCCTTTCCATTTTTTTTGTTCAGTTATGCGCATGCGCAAAGGCAAATGCACCTGCAATTATTCATAATTAGCTCCGTTGATATTATATGCTAATCAGTATTTATAATGGTCGGTTACCTTTGTTCATTTTGCTATAGTTTTATCAAATACATAGAGCAATCCAAGAGTTGAGAACATCAAAAATCATCGCTCAAGTTTTGATTACAGAGACCATTGCCATATGGCAACAAGATGTTGTCCAAAATCCAACCATGTATCCCCTTCTAAATTCCCCAATTTATTTGCACTTATAGGAGATAAATTGTCTCATATTATATTACGAGCTTTAAACTCAATACCATTATAACAAAGCCAGTGTACACGATTCGTAGGACCATATGGCTGCAATATGTTTAACCATATGTTTGTGGATTGCGAGGGGAGTCATTTGAATCGGTACCTTTGCGCTCAATCTCTAAGATAACGTAATGGTGCAATGCGTGATAACCCCTATATTCGTTTACTCGCAACGTGTATCTAGAACATATTTATTTATTCTGTATTGGGTTTTTGGATTGATAACAAGTTTAAGAGATGTCTTGTTAGTACGAGATGTTTGGAAAAGATAGCTTTAGCAAAAGGGGCTAAGTGTTGGGTTGCGCATGAGAAACACATGAATATGGATACAACCCAAACAAAGAATCTTATTCTCAAGGGAGTGACACGTGTTTTCTAATAGGAAAACATTACGCCCAAGGGACATCAGGGGAAAACGTTTGCGCATGCGTGCACTCCAGCACGTTTTCTAAGAATTTCTGAAGAGTTTGAGTTAGAAAATAAATGTTTGTTTTCTCCAAGTATACAAAAACGTTCGAGAGTATACTTTTGTCAGACCAAGATACTATATTGACAAACACAATATAAAAGAATTAGTCTTAAGTTTCAAGCATGGACACTAAATTTTGGCATTTTGTGAAGTCCAATTTATAAGGCATGTTTGAAAGTTAAATTTACTAATGTTTTGACTAATTTGCATACGGATTCAGAGCATGCGCAGACGTTTTTCACTCGTGTCCGCCCAAGCTAAAGAGGTATATGCATTTGACGTCAAGGTAGCTCAACTTGGAGGACAAAACAAAAGAATTTCAATCTCCTGGGAATTGGAAACCTATTGTTACATGTCCTCGATATGAGCTGCATTCCGACAGACTGCAAGGGGCCGGTCTATTGACAAATTGAATGTTGAACACGAAAACGTTTACCTAGACCCCGTCCACACTATACCGGATAAATTTGAATCTGAATTTTTATTTATTCGGTTAGGCCTACCGTCAACACTAGTCCGGGCGAATCCGGAACAATTCTTCACCGAAAACGATTTTTTTCGTATACGGTGTCCAGAGTGGGACAATTTGAATACGCCGGCTAGCTGTATTAGTGTGGACGGAGAACATTTCGTATCCGAAATCTTTCGAATATTGATATAATAATTATATTTATGATGGTAGCAATGATGACGTTCAGTTTATAATGGTCATCGTTTCGTCCATAAAAAAAGATACGAAAAAAAATGGGCTCTTCAATTCTTAACTAGTTTATTCCAGTGTAACTAGCAATTTGAATCAATCCGGCAGTGTAAAGCAAGATTTAAAAAAATTAAATTCAGTTCTTACTGAAGCTTCGATCATGATCACGTCAGTTGACGTCAAATTGCTTTTGGTTAGTCAAACAGTATCATATCTGGCCACAAATATCCATCGCTTCTCACTGAAGGAGCACCATTTATGCCTTAAGGGTTTCGCTGCAATATAAACCAGAATCGACCTACATCTTCGATAAAAATCGTCCCTTAAACCTGCACTTATCTCGTGCAATCAACTCACCAATCTTTCAGAGATTTTTATTTCAACTATCTTTATAAATGTAGTAGATTTTCGTCGAATTATCAGCCCAAATATGATACCTTCACCTTCTTGTCAACCTCGCTTGTTGAAGGTATTGCCAACTGCCCTAAGGCTTTTCGTGGCCGTTTCTGGATCCTGACAAAACTCGATCTTTCTAAATCTCCGCCAAAAACGATACAGCTGGTTTATTGAAGTTTTATCTTGGAGATACTAGCATCTGTAGGATAAGGAATATTTTTTTTATGTGCAAGGAAGAGGTCCTGTGGCTCTATAATGCCTTTCCTATGGAGATATACAGGGGTTAACATAGTGTAATTAAGACTGCTGCGTCCAAATTCAAAACAATGATCCAATTCAAAAGACCAACTTTATTGGTTTTGTTGGTGGGTACCGGTAAATACAACTTCCTCTCAGAGACGTATTGAAATGCTCACTTCTGGGTGTCCGTAATGGCTATTTCTATGCACAAATACGTTGTATATCGTGCGTGCAAACAGACATTACATTCATTTATTGCGATTTGATTTTTCATCAGTACCAGTAAATACCACATTCCTCTCACAGACGTATAATGCTCAACCTGGGTGTCCCTCGTGACGACTATTTCCATATACAAATACGTTGTATAGCATGCGTGCAAATAGACAAAACATTCATTTATGTGATTTGATTTTTCGTCTTGGATATGTTTGAGGGCGAAATCCAGGATTTCACTTCCAGATGTGATGGGCAGCAGCACACCCCTCTTCACTGGGCCCTGTAAGATTTGCCCTTGTTGTATCCCCTCAGTATAGGAAACAAACTAGGAACGTCCAATAACAGTATTTTTTTTTAAATATTGTAATTCATTCTAGGTTTGGTTTCAAAACCGAAGAGCAAAATGGAGGAAACGAGAACGCTATTCCCAGGTCCCTGTACCAGTACGAGGAATGCCAACCTCGCCTTATGACCAAATCCCGCCTCCTTCCTGGCCTCGTAATGACCCTTCAGTGGGAATCAGCCAGGGAGGACCAATGCCTCGACATCTACCCTCTCACGTGACCCTTCCAAGTTACGGCGCTGTGTTGCATGCGCAGTCGATGTCTTCAATGGCGGGAAGAACGTCTCCCCCCGGGTCTCCAAACCACGTCATCAATACATCAATGGCTCCCTCTTCTCACATCAGGTCGCATGCTCACCAGCAAGGACCGCATCCCAATGTGACAATAACCTCGTCGTCGATGCCGCATAATCATATTTCATCATCAAACTATCCGCCACATTCTTCCCCCGGCGCATGTCACTCTCCTCCGTCCGCTGGCCCGCATGTATCGCGGGACTGTAGAATAGAAAATGAACAAGATCTACAGGGTGGACAGTGCGTTGTTCGACATAGTTCTAGTATAGCCGCTCTTCGTCTCAAAGCTAAGGAGCATGCCGTTGCCATGGGAATGGTAAGAGTATACAACATGAGAGCTGATGTCTGATATCGTTTGGAAATTTGACAACTGTTGTCTTAGCAACATACCGAGAAGTCTACGTGGTGCTATGGTCCACGTTATAGTTGCTGGTGACAGTTACCGCCAGTCAAAAATAGTTGCCGCCAGTCAAAAATATGAAAGGTACCGACTGATTAGGTTTGAATAACAATTGAAACAGCCAAAAGCCGAATAACAGCCGAAAGGTACCGACTGATTAGGTTTGATTGAAGGCAGCAAAAAAACAAATTTCAGCGTTCAGCTCGCAGACACAGAGTTCGCATGTTATGGAAACTGCGGTAATGTATTCGCATATTTGTATGCACGATTTTTTTTGCTGCCAAACGAGCTTCTACACTTACCTTATTTGGTAAAACTTCTCATCGAAATGTGTCGCGGTTTAACGTGCATAATAATTGCCAATACATTACTTCGCGCTGTAAATATAAGAATATCGTAAATATTCCGCGCACAGTACAGTTTTTATTTTAGTTGTTTGGTATTTAAAGTTAAGAATATTTACTATATGAGATTATACGCGCAAATAGATCAGATTTAATTGTTTACATTATTGCGGGATGTTACGTTTTTTTTACACTTTAAAACCGAAGGCAATATATTTATACTATTATAGGTTCTACAACGTTTATCGCCAGGAATTATTGCATTGCATTGCATTGCAATTATTGCAATTGGACGTTTGCACGATGGCGTCACTTTCCTCTACTACCAGACTCCCTTGCACACTTTCTTTTATTCAATTAATTAGCACCAATTGTCTTACTATTCTCATGAGGCAATACAAATTTAAATAAGAAAGAAAATTCGCTAAGCATCTTGGTCCTGGGAGTCAAATGACGTACGCCATCAGACAAATGTCCTATTATTGTTTTCCCATTTCAAATCACATGTCATTTCCTAGAGTATCATTTCTTTGTTTAACGGTTGCGCATGAAAAGACACATGAATATGGATACAACTCAAACAAAAAATTATGATTCTCAAGAGAATGGCACGTGGTCTGATATGAAAATCATTACGGCCAAGCTATAAAGGAGGACTTTTCTTTACATTCAGGTTTAAATATCGGTTACATTAATTTATGGTAACCCTGGTGCAAGGGGCCCTGGAATAATGCCCCAATTCACCCCAAGTCTAAAGGTTAAAATTCAGAATTTTTTATTTTTTTAAACCAATAGCAAAACAACCGTGTTATTTCGAGTATTATATATATATATATTGATATAGTTTTGTAATATTTTCTATTCGATTGTACAAATTTGCTAGGTATTTCTTTCTAGGTATTTTCTTAAATTGTCAGCTTTTGAGAGGAATAAATGAGAATTAAGATTAATCTTGGAAAATTGTTTTATTTCCACGAAGGTAATTTTGCTATAATTCTTCCGCAATTTTCTATTTTTGATTGTCCAGTGCTTCTAATAGGAATCTGTGTTTTGTGAGTGTGTTTCAGTACTTCAATGACGTCGTCTTGTTTTTCGTTTTTTGTTTTTTGTTTTTTACTCTTGCGGCGCGCCAAAACATTTTTGAATCCGTATGCAACTCAATCTTCAAACACAAAGGTTTTTTGTCCCCTTAAAATTCCCCAAAAAGGCTAATGTTTCTTAAACGGAAGGCCTTGTTCTACCCACCACCACGGCTGAACATACACGTACTTTAACATTAATCTTTATTGATACTATTACAACTATTTCGCTATCTGTCTTCAATATTGGGATACGTTCCCCGAGGGCCGATACTTCATGTGCGATTGTCCAAATGTCCCGCTGTGAACAAATGCTTCTCGATGACGCTAACGAATCTTATCAGTATTATAGTGGTAAAAGCATGTTATAAAATCGCTGGGTGCTTGACCTTTTATCGTGTGTATGACTGCATGTGGTTATAAGGAAAAAAAAACGGTAGAGTGATTGATAAAATCTGTAGTGATGAACCCGCGAGCCCAAGCTACCAAAATAGCTCTCCCCTCCCCCCTCAATCGTGTCTCTTCTTTTCAATAAAAAGTTATTACCGAGTAACATTATGGCGTCATTTAACGACTACCAGAATCCCTTAAACATTTTCTTTTGTTCAGTTAATTAGCACCAATTATCTTACTATTCTCAAGAGGGAATATAAATTTAAATAAGAAAGAAAATTCGCCAAGCATAAAGGTAGTGGTAGTATAAAATGACGCCATCATGTAAACGGCCGTGATTTTCCAAACAACAAGTTGAAGGCGAATGACTTTAATTACAATAACAGTCGCACAAAACGRTTGATACTTCATTTTATTTCAAAGTAAATAACTTGGATGGAGTGTTGACTGATGCGTTACCTGGTCTTTACCTTGTTTGTTTTGAACGATTAGTTTCCAAGCCGACCTTGAGGTCCAAAACAGCAGACTTTTATCCTCTCTCGACACGGAGATGCTTACTAGACGAGAATCGTTTAAGAATGTTGACGTTCGATTTGTTTTGATGGGTGACAGTGAAGTAGGAAAATCAGGTGAGATTTATAGTGCTTTTTCTTGTCAGTTAGAAAATAAATGTCCAAACAAATTACCCTGGTTTGTATACGTATTTTTCTGCTCTCCTTTCAACCTCAGCTTACAGAATAAATTGATAAATAAGACCTGAATCAAGTACTAAAGCAACACGAGATATTTAAGCCACAAATCAGGCATACGGTACCCTTGTTCGTAGGGAGAAGGGGTACAAGACAAGAATCTATAAGGGGAAACTGTTAAACATTTTAAAAACATCTTTTAGTTCCGCAACAAAAATAATATTTGATCGCTTATAAAGATTGATAGTGAAACCCTTGATCCTTTCCAAGTATTTTAAGTAAAATAGTGTTGTATTTTTACGTACGTAATTATTATGGTCTAATGGAGCTTGTTTTTCTAGATCATTGTCTAATTTTGAATAATCTACGAAAAGTCTAATTACTTTTTCATGCATCCTTTGTGCATGTAAAAGGTGTTAAAAAGAAATCAAATAGCTGGATAATCTTTGCGAAAACAAAAGAAAATGATAAGGTTTAATGAAAAATAACACCGAAGCCAATCAACTTTTGACTTTGGAATAAATCAGTAGCTTACTTTCAATAATTAAGATAAAAGGCTTTTCTTTTATGAAGATATGCTGACAGTCATTTCCCTATTGATTGGCTACCTTTGTTTTTCTTCGGGCAACCTCAAACCTCAACCACAAAAAGAAGAGATGAATGCGAAAAAGTCATTTGTGATAGAGCTTGGGCTATCTGTGTTGTTGTTTACACTATCTACGTGACCCTAACCGACCCTTGAACCAATGCGTTGTGTCAAAATAAACCCAACAAAATTTTCAATCTCCTGAGAATCGGAAACCTATCGTAATCAAGTTGTCTAAATTGAGCTGCATTCCGAAGTGCTGCAAAGGTATATCACTTGCAGCAAACTCCTACGCCGGAATTTTATCACGGTTTGTGGGGTATGGCACCTGAGCGGGCAAGAAACACCTTGATCCAATGCCCACGGGTCCTAATCGTTTATTCTCATAGTCTGCTTTTGTTGAGCGAGAAAATCTGATTTTTCGGCCTCATTTGCGAAGTTACGCTGCTCGGGAAGAAACTACAGAGTTGGTTTCATTTATTTCTATTTATTTGTATCCTCGTCGCCGGCTGAAGTTGCTGTGGTCGCTCATCGTGGACTCCGAAGCCCGTAGCCCACCCGACTAAGTTCTTTTACGAAGCAGAAACCCACAGTTGATGGTCAGCCGCCCGCAACGTTAACAGCTCGACCAGTCGAAGTATCCGTGTTTACCAGGTATCTAATTTGATAGTAACATTCATGAGTTGTGATGATTGTCAACAAACATTTGCTGGAAGAAGCAGGAAGTAGACAACGTGAGCATGCATAACGTAATGATTTAATATACTACAAATTCTTCACAAAACTTGAGTGATCATGAAGGCAATTGCTGTCTTTCATTCTATTCAGCTGATAAAAAATTTTGAATCTCATTATCAGCTCCACATAGTGGTCAAACACTGCTGTCAGTTGAAAACAATGCTATTGAAAACTTGCGATTCAGCTGATGATTCAGCTGACTACATGTAGAGAGTTACTTGCTGTAAATTTACTTTTTATTTGAAATTAACGAGACCCACAATGCCCTTTGGTCTTGGAATGCACTATTCAGTATGCAGTATTCAGTGTTTAACCTTTTTTGAAATAGCTTGAAATAAAACAAAAAATAAAACCTTGAAATAAAACAAATCTAGTCAACGTGTGATAGTGAATTAGGGTCTGCAAAAGAAAACGATGGATTTAGGATCTGCACCAATGTGCATTAGTAAATTTCACCTATTTCACGGTTTTAGTAATCTCACGCACTCTAAAACTAAAAACTAAATCGCTAACATGAAACAGTCCATAATTTGACCAGGATTCCTTGCGCACGTCGTAATAACCGCGCGCGTGCAATTGAATACGTCACAGTTAGAATTCAAATGACGTCATAGCCAATTAAAATTTAGATTGTTTCAAGTAGTTGAATTGACAAGACGTGTTTGAATATCAAGTGATTTTTATTGTTCAAAATGTGCGGAACATTTCAGTCTAAATTTAAGCGCAACAACAAAATAGCGCCTGTACCATGTCCTTTTGAACTAGAGGTTCTGAAAAGAGCAAAGATCCAAATCGAGAAAGAAAAAGCTCTTTTGAAGAAGGAAATCGCCATACAAACCGGATCAAGTCTCTTATTCCTGGATACCGAGAGCAGGAGAAGTAAAACGCCAGCTTGCGTTGCATATGATTTGAATTTGGATGGCAACGTTGTGCAAAAGGGTTTGAAAGCAACCTGTCCACGAAGACTGGCAAGCGATCCGAAGTTGCCCGTCCTGACAAGAGAGATGCTGCTTGAGAAGCAGGCACAGGCAAAAGAGAACAGAAACAAGCAGCTGGAAAATAAAAGGAAAGGAGCCGCCTTGAAATCTTTGCGAGCGAGGGAGAAGAAATTAGAAGAGGAAGAAGAAAAGTTGAACAAGATTGCAAAGATAAACGAAAAGCTATGCAAGGCCGACGCGAACAGACAAGCTCAACTCGAAGGTGTTAAAACTAAAGCCAAGAAATCCTCCAACAACACACGCAGCAAGATAGCTGAGGCACAGAACTTTGCCAAAGCGCAACAGACCTTGGTGCAGAGTGACAGAAAATTGAAAGAAGCTCAAACCAAAAGAGAAAAAGCTGTTAACAAGGTTGTCAGAAAACAGCGACAACGTGAAGCACAAGCCCAGAAAGTCCGACAAAGGGCAGCCAAGCAAATGCAGGAATGTGTTCGTGTGTTTGATCTGGAAGTCGATTCACACTTCTATGCATCGGACAGCGAGAGTGACAAAGATGACATGTGGGATGCTGCATTCTGGGACAGAAAAGTCTAAAGAAGAAGAAGGCTGAGAAGATGGTAATATGAGTTGGCCACATGGATTGCGATCCAATTTTACGAAAGGCGAACGAATATTAAGGGAAGAGAAGTGCCAATATACGGTCTGAGCATCTTGTAAAGAGACTAGTGAAAAAAGAAAAAATAATAATAATAAGTGTAAATAATAATTGGTAAATTTTTAATATTATATTTGTAAATGCGTAAGAATTTTGAATGGTTGTCTATCATTGTTAATATTAATAAATGAATAATACATTTTATCCTTAAGAGTGTTGATAATTTAAATTCGATTAGAGGAGAATACTTTACGAATAATAATATAATGGATATCAAAATTTAATTGTGGGAGTTGAAGTTGGGCGCTCAGGCTTAGGTGGGTGTGATAAAGGGGTGTCGGAATTGGGAGTGGGGGGGTGTGATAAAGCGGTGTTGAGGAACGGATGGGGGCTATAACGAAAGCATAAAATAAGCTATTTTTAAAGCGTCTTGGATCATTTATAGAGTGGCTGATTAGTTGACGCATAAGAGAAAAAGTACGGTTACAGCAGGGCTCGCTCGCACGGCTTGTACGAGAACATTTTTGTTCCTAATGAAAGAGCTCACGGTGTGAGGATGTGCCGCTTGGCGCACGTCATGGTCTTACATAAAATATATCATATAATTATCCATAAAATAGCTATATTTATGAAATGCATTATTTTGAAACACACTTATTTTTAGAAATTCTGTATTTTTTTTGAATAGCTGTTGCTGTAAGGTTCATAACGAAGAGGTTTATTGGAGAGTATGACTCATCGCAAGGTATAAACACATTTATAGTTCCTCTGGAATCTTTCACTCCTTAGTTGTCCTCGATCGATTCTATTAAGGCCGGTTTAGGCTGTACGATTTTCGCCTACCACTATCGTATACAACACGCTCGCGCCATCCTACAACTCGAGTCGTAGCGTGTAAATCAAGCCTTCAACTCGCCTATGACAGACGCGAGCGTGTTGTATACGATAGTTGTAGGCGAAAAACGTACCGTCTAAACCGGCCTTTATACTATCAATCCGTTTGATTCGTTCCTCTTGCTATATTTTATAAAATATCGTATTATTTCTGCTGTAGATTTCCACTATAAGTATCAAGCTCCTATTGATGATGACCACATTAACATAGAAATACTTGATCCAGGACCTTTGGTAAGCAAAACCATAGTATACTGGTATGCACTCTATCTAGCTCAAAAAAGATACCACACTCTTCAACCCCTTCAGTCTCTTTCACCTTTCTTTATGCACTCAAACTACCTGTAATGATACCCAGTTGGTTTATGGAAAGCTCCGACACAATAGACCCTTTTCGAGTTCCAAATTACCGCTGTGTTTCTTGATTACAGACTCATTTACTCAGGCTTAGCCTCGATTTTGTGCAGAATATTCACGTGTTCCAGTCAAACAAGTTCCATCAAGTTTCAAAGTGCTTGTATTGTTGAAGTTGTGCATTCTTTATTTTACCGTTGGTATTTGTAAATACTTAGACACTGATACGAGGCTAATCCTGAGTAAATAAGTCTGTAATCAAGAAAGACAGCGGTATTTTGGAACTCGAAACTGGACTATTATGATTTTTTTTAAATGTCTTTTTCTTGTTCTGGTTCAGCGTTTCGGGGGCTCAAACAAATTCTTTTCAATTTGGTCCTCCTAACCCCCTCTCGGAAAATCCTGGCCACGCCCCGTGTAATTTGTATCGTAAAAGATCGAAATCTGTCTTTCTTTTTAACCTGTCTCGAATAGTAATCGTAAGTGTGATAATTCAAACCAATAAATGCCAAATAATTAAACATCAAAGAAAATATTTTCATTGCAGCCAAAGGGTCAAATGAAAGATCGTATCCTGGAAAGCCGGGTCACGTGGGGAGACGGTTTCGTGTTAGTTTACTCCATCACTGATCGCAGGAGCTTCAAGTCGATCATGACATATCACCAAATGGTGTGCAGTATTAAACCCAAACCTGTTGTTGTACTACTGGCTAATAAAAGTGACTTGGAACACAAGAGAAAGGTATTAAGTTAATAAAGCGCATGCTTTTCTCTCTCCCCCCGCCTTTCCGAATGTGGTGAGGGGAGGGGTGGGGGTGAGTAGAGGATGACAGATAGCGAGTACACGATTGCGCGTAACGACCATTATTTCTTAGTATCATTTCCTCAATCAAGGTGTCATTGACGACGTATTAAAATGCGATATGTCTGAGAGATGGGTTTACACTTATTTCAAAAAACGTTTCAGGGATCAAAAATTGGCCATCTGAGACTAAACAGCATTTTAGTGCTTTCACGTTTTATGGCTAAAATACGAAAAGTCACATTTCTAACTCAAAGGTCATACTTCAAATTCCAATCTAAAAGGAAACTACGTTACTCGACATTGAATATACTACATTTTGTAGCTTGTTACTTGGTCTCAGATTTCAGATCTCCGACCAGGGACCTACGACCTCCCTGGCGCTCCGACGGAGGTTTTTAGAAATAGCTTTATCATACTCATTAATAATTCATGAGTAAACCAGCCAATCAATGGGCTATTTTTATGCCACATGATGTTACTTGAAACCTGGTAATGTCATGTGAAAGGACTGAATTCAGTCTGGAGTAACTGGAACAAAATTAATTCAGTCCTAGGACTGAATTAATTTTGCTCCAGTTATACTCAAAGTCRAATAATAATGAGCATGAGAAGTCATTTCAAAGCCTCCAATATGGGACTGGATGGGATTTCAAGTCCAAGTAGAAGACCAAATTCAAATTTAACGAAACAGTTGCTGTTTGCAATTCCATCTGCTAAATATGTTAGAGATCCATGGATCAAAATTAGTCAACT